GACTGGGCTTCCCTGTTCTCCCCTGCTGGAGTCCCAATGACAGATGGAAAGGGAGCAGATGCTATGTGGGGATGGCTGAGTCTGACTTCTACCTGCTTCATGTAGGGGAACTGTCCCTATCAATAACATCCGTAATACCAAATAAATGGCTATGTGATCAGACATGCCACCCTAAATGCTCTTACATCTATTTCATTGAGCTTAGTATTCGCTGCAACTTGACTCACAGACTGTACTCACAGTTGTGAAGTTTATTAGAGAAATGGGTTTGGGAGTAAGTGAGGCAAAGACTATCACACCAATGCAAGTCCAGATTTAGTCCAGGAGTTCCAAGCCAGATTAACATAGCACATTTCCTCAATTAGTGAAAGTTCAGGTTCAGTTCAATGGGACAAATGCAACTCTGGCTTTCTCAATCATCCAGCAAACTTTATCTCAGAGCAGTTACAAGCTAGCTTTTCCTTCAATCATCCAGCAATAAAAACCTTTACCTGTGACTACATCTCCAGAGTTCCTCTGGTTACACCTTGCCACAGTCTCTTCACAGTGGTCTCTTCACCACCATTTTTCAAAGCATGGAAAGTGCTCTTTTATCTTGGTCCCACAGCCATTGATGATTTGCAAGACCATGTGTCCACAGTTAAGATTTCTGGAGTCCATGCCCCCAACAGGGGCTAACACAATGGGTAGAAAAGCCAATTTTCAACGTTTCTGACACCACACAACTTTTTAGAGAGGTGGACAAGTAAAGAGCTGGTCCTGATGTTGAGTTTAGTAGAGCAGAAGGAACATAGGTGATTATCACAGGAATCCAACAGCCTGACCATATGCCAGGTAGGTGGGATTGGTCACCCAACAGACTAGTCACAATGACTCAAACTATGGCTACTGGAGTTAATTTAAGCAACTGCTGGGTACATCATAACCCATATTTGATTACCATGAGAATATCCTCAATTTCATTCTGGTTCACAATGCTCTGAAGTTACTAATTCATGCTTGGTTGGTACAATACATGTTTCTAACACCTTGGCTTTTCTCTTTCCTCTTTGTATGACCAGGGAGCTCTGGTGACCAAGGGGTAACAAGTTGTGCTCTCAATCCAAAGGCACACAGTTCAGATCCATTAGTTGCTCTGTGGGAGAATGATGGGAAATCTCCTCTTGTGTGTTTACAGTCTCTGAAAACCCGCTGAAGGATTAGCTGTGAGTTGGTTCTGATTGGATGGCCCATAACAACAAACAACAACCACCTTGTTTAACCATACCATTGGAACCCAGCCAGAAACTTAGTCTTAACACCTTTGAACTGAAGACAAACCTTGTCTAGTTGTTGTTTGTTTGTTTTGTTTTTTTTTTTAAAAAAAAAACAAGCTTCCATCTTCTCTTATTATGCAATGACTGTTTAACCAGATCCTGGATGGATCATATTTAACTAAGTATCCCTGATGGTCTAAATGAAAATCTCTCTGTGCCCTTCAAGTGAACCTTTCCCTCCCACTTTCAGTGGCCAGCCCTACTTGAGTAAAAAACCCTAGGGTAACTTCTCTATATATGAGCTTTTCAATGCTTAACAGGGATCCACTTTAGAAGGCAGAGCAAGGATGTCAGTTTAAAGACCTGATCCAAGCTATGGTCTTTTCAGTTAACTCCTATGCATCTGAAAATTGAACAATGAATAAGGATGACAGAAAAAGAATTTTAAATTATTTAAATTGTGGTGTTGGTGAATAGTACTGAATATGCCCTGGACTGTCAAAAGAACAAGCCTGTCTTAGAGAAAGAGCAACCAGGGTGCTTCTCAGAGGCCAATGTGGTGTGAAATTTTCTCTCACATACTTTGGGTATGTTGTCAGGTGGGGCCAGTCCTCGGAAAAGGAAATTATGCTGGGGAAAGTGGAGGGTCAGAGAAAGAGAGGAAGACCCCTAACAAGTTGAAATGACACAAGGACTTGACTGTGGCCATGAACAGATCAGCAATGGTGAGGACGGCACAGGACGGGGCAAGGTTCAAATCTGTGAGTTGTAGGCAATTCAGTGGCACCTAACAAAACAACAGCAAGGCACTTTTAGGGTTCTGACCATTCCCCACAAAGTGCATAACTTACTCTGAGTATTCACCCCTTCCCCTCACATACTGTTCTCTGGCACATAGATGCCCTGTTGAAAGCACCAGGCATATGCCCCCCTCTCCGCCCCTGGGCAGATCCCCCTGCCTGACTCTCTCTTCCCTGTATGTTGACATGACTCCCTGTCTCCCTCCGCTCTGGCCTCTCCTCAAATATCACCCTCCTGGTTTAAAATAGCAAACCCTGTCACTCTATCCCCTTCCCCTGCTGGACTCTCCCCGCGCACTGGCTGCCACCTGGCCTGCTCTGTGTCTCTTTCCTTATTACACCTCTGCTCACACTCGGATATCAGCTCCAGGGAAACTAAGGCTTTTGTTTTTGCCCATTGCTGCATTCTTCATACCTGAAGAGTTCCTAGGGAGCTCTCAGGACCGATTTGCAGGGAATTACGCCGCTAACCAAAAGGTACGCCCCTAACCAAAAGGTTATGTCTCTGGAGGTTCGAATCCATCAGCTGCTCTGCCGGACAACAGGCTTCTGTTTTACGGCTTCAGAAACCCGAGGGAGGGTGGCTTTGATCCAGGACCAGCGGGTTTGAGTTTTGAGCTCTAAGAGCTTTCTATTTCTGTGTTATAGCTGCTGCTAGACCCTGTCTGTGTACAAAATCTGGGGCCGTAACTAACTACTACTTAAAACATCATCCTCTAGTTCCTACGATGGTGAGGCTGCCGCAGGATTGGGTGGCATTTCATCCTGTTGTACGCGGTGAGCTGGAGCCAGCTCGATCGCATCTAACAGCACGACGTGCCATGCGTCTTGGGGGCGAGCGAGTTAATTTTAGGTGATGCACAAACAAGCATTAAAAATGGTAATCATTTTGTGTTTGTTTTGACTGTTATCTTCTATTTCTGGCAAACAATCCTGGTTTCCTTTTAAGGTCATGAATTAGCAGTTCTCTTTAAAAGTTATTCCTGTAAATTGTAGGAATCTAAAGAAGACTATTAGGTCAGGAGCTTTGGTAGCCTAGTGGTGAGAAGATGTGCTGCGATCCCCAAGGCATACGGTTCGAATCCACCAGGTGCTCCGTGGGAGAAGGATGGGCAGTCTCCTCTTCTGCGATTAACAGACCGCAAAAACCTGCTGGAGGCTCAGCTAGGAGTCAGTTCCAACTTGACAACGCACAAAGAGCGAAACAGGTGGTGTAAAAATCATGAATAAGATGAGGCATACCTGAAATGTGGAGAATAATGTCACAGCTAAGGAAAGTCGCTTCTACTTCAAAGCAAAGCCACTGTTATGTGGTGAAGCTGACCCATGTGGAAATTATAGACAGAGTAGAATTGCCCCATGGGGTTTCGAAGGCTGTAACCTTCCAGGAGATTGTCCTGCCTTTTCCCCCATTGAGTTGCTGGGTTCAATCTGCCAACCTTTTGGTTAGCAGCCATGCGTTTAACCACTGAACCAATGAGGCTTCTTAACATCTGTTTACTGGCTCTTTGTTAGATGCCAGGCTCCATGCCAAGGGGTTACATGAAGGTACATGTAATAGTAATGGTGACAGTTTTCATGATGAAAAAACAGGTTATGAGAGGTGAAGTCGCTTACTCAGGGTCGCAGAGCCAACAAGTGGCAGAATAGGATTCTAGGGAGCACTGGTGGTCTAGTGGCAAGAAGCTGTACTGCAGTCCTAGAGGTACGCAGTTCGAGTCCACCAGATGCTCCGCTGGAGACGGAGGGACAATCTCCTCCTGCACCAGTCAGATCTGACGGAATAATAATAATAATATTCCTGTACCAGTCAGATCTGACAGAATAATAATAATAATATTAAAAATACTAATACTACTAATAATAATAAAGCAAGAAAGAAACGTGGCAAGAACCTGCACTGCAATCCCAGAGGATTCTAATGCAATTTATGGGCCTTGACATTTATCTTCTACCTCATTCTGGTTGACAGCTTTGGAAACTGAGGCCTAGAAAACCCATGACAGCCGATACGTGGTCCCTGGGGCAAATGGAATGGGGTGGAGACACATCTGGGAGGGAGCATGGACAGGGCTGGGTGTTTATAAAGGATGAAGGATAGACGGAGTTCATGGCCATGCCCAGCTCTTTGTTCCTATGACAAAGTGTGCAGCTGAGACATCCTTGCGCTGAAGATCATGAGAATTGAATATGACGGGGAAATCATTTGTCCAGGAGATCCTTGGACACGCTGGTCTGCAGCTCAGGTAAGAGGCTTGAGCAGCAGACAGAATGCAGAGACTGATTAGTAATGTCTGCTTTGAGCACAGGCAGCAACAATGGATGCCAAGGTCAAGTTTGACAAGCCCTGGGGGTGGATGATCTCTCAACATCCTTCCTCCAAACATTCCCTCAATCTTTCCATAATTTAAACAGACGGCAAAGGGGGCTTCACCCGCAAAGGAGGATGAAGTTTCTCCCTGAATTAGCACTCTTCAGGGCAGGAAAGTCAATGTTGGAGAAGACTAGAAGCACAGGAGGCCTTGAGTTTTCCACAGGAGTCTTTATTACAGTGTAAATCCAAGCTCAGGCCTCCCCTGGGCCCCATGCAAAGCCTGGGGGCTGGGACTTGCGGTGTCCCAGAGACACTAATCATTCACAGCGCCTCCAGTGGCGGGGTCACGGAAGTGCAGGGCGAGCGCCCTGTCTAGGCAACTACAAGTCCTAGTAGGCCCCGAGGCCACGGTGCCTCGTCTTTCCTGGACTCTTAGAGCAGAGCCTCTTGGGAAATGTAGTCCTGGCCGCTCAGGCTATTTGCCCTAACTCCCCTGGTGTGAGTGATTCTGACACCCACAGGGAAATGGCTTGGGCCAGGCGGGGAGACAGGTGGATATGGAAGGGAGATGGAAGGGAACAAAGGGCGGCTGGGGTGGGGGCAGGTGTCCCACGGGCAGAGACACCCCTCTCATTCGGCTTTGGCTTTGGATCCGGAGGCTGCAGCTGCTGCCGAGGTAAGGGCTCCGGTCCCTGGGATCTTAGCTCGAATCCTGCAGGCAAAATGGGTGAGGTCATACAGTGTAGCCAGAAAGGGGTTTGAGAACTAAGGGTAAAGCTGAATAAGAGAAAACTATCTCAATGCTCAAAGCCAGCCCGGTACCACCCTCCAATGACTCCTAAGAAGGGAGTCTCTGAGAAAGGGGCATTCTGGGAGAGGGCAGAGTGCGGGGATAGATTAGTGATGTCTGTCTTGTGCACAGGCAGGAAACATGGTTCAGTTAGCACTTGGATCCAATGGGCCAGTGAATGTATAAAAACAATCTCCTAACTTCCCCCTCCCTCCCTCCCTCTCCAGTCCCGTGTCCTTACTTAGCTTTGAGGTGGCTCAACTGATTTGTCACCAACCCCACATACTGGTCGATCTGGACCTGGAGAGACCAAAAGGGGTTGGTTGAGGAAGGAGGAATGGGAAGGGGTTCTTTTCTTGAATTCATCTGCGAGTCTGCTTTCCTCCCACCTCCTGGACCCACAACACACTTTCAATTTTAAATTTTAATAGATACATCTTGGAAGTCCAAGGCAATGGATCTGAGATTTGTTTCCTTGCAAAGTTTTTTAATACTTTTAGTGTTAATTGTCCCAAGGTCTGTTAGGGAGCAAAGATTCTCAGGCTGCCTCCCTCTGGCTGGAATGTGACAGGCAGACAATCTTGGACCCATGGCCAGGTAAGGTAAGTGGGCCAGTTAGTAAATCAGTCTGGGTCTGGGGGTACCAGTCATCCTGCCTCTGTCAGAGACTCCAATGTGAATGTCTACCCCTGGCTGTTAGAATTTATTTGCTAGACTGGAGCTCTTTAAAAGGGAGCTTGGGTGGTCCTGTGGGTATGGAGTTGCACTGCCAACTCAGAGGTACGCAGTTTGAGTTCACCAGCTGCTCCACAGGAGAAAGATGGGCAGTCTCCTCCCATGTGAAGTACAGCTTCTGAAAAACGGTTAGCTATGAGTTAGTTCCAACTCAGTGGCACATAACACCACCACCACCACCACCACCACCACCACCACCACCACTACATGTGGAAGATGGAAAAGGAATAAGGAAGACATCAAGAAAGATGCCTTTGAAATATGATCTTGGCAAAGAACAAGGACTCCAGACAAATGAATGAAAAAGGACAGCCAGAATGTTCCTGAAAAGGAATGAGGATGATTTTTCATCTCATTTCCTTTGGGCATGTTATCAGTAGGGGCCTGGTAACGTAGTCCCTAGAGAAGAATGCTTAGTAGAAGGTCAGTGAGGAAAGAGGAAGACCCTCCGAGAGATGGACTGACCCAGCGGCTCCAACAGTGGGCTGGTACACAGCAATGATGTAAGAGTGGGCAGGGGTTTTTGTTGCACTCGGGGTTGGTGTGGATTAGAGCCTGCTCAACTACCCCTCGCAACTACTACCAGCTAAAAGGTGGCATTTGAAACCACCCGGTGGTTCTGAAAGGAAAGACAGTGCCATATGCTTCCCTGATGATTGGTGTTAGGTGCCTTCGAGGCATTTTCAGCTCATGTCAACCTTACGCAGCACAGAACCAAACACTGCCCGTCCTGTGCCAGCCTCTCACCCGGTGCCACGTCCGAGGTCACTGCCGCAGCCGCTGGGTCATTCCACCCAGTGGAGGGCCTTCTTTTCACATAAGCCTTTGTTAAGATTACAGCTAAGAGTGCCTAAACCAGGTGGCCTAGTGGCAAGAAGCTGCACTACAATCCCAGAGGTAAGTGGTTCGAATCCACCAGATGCTCTGCTGGAGAAGGAGGGACAATTTCCTCCTATACCAGTCAGATTTGATTTGACGGTACATGCAAAAGATAATAAAATAAAGTTTAAAAAAGAAAAGAGTGCCTGAACCAGCCAACACAGAATGGATAAACACCCTACTCTTCTTTGTTCAGGGCTGAAGCCAACTGAGTCTCAGTTTGCTTTCACCAAAGCGCATATTTTAAATAAAACATATTTGCTATTTAAAAAAAAAAAGACTACAGCCAAAACAACCCTATGGAAGAGTAGCACCTAGGGTCGTCATGGCAACGAAAAACCTATTGAGGTGGGCAGCCATCAGGCCATGTGTGTCTGGGTGACATGCTTGCAGCTGGCTCTGCCAGGGCCGGGCATCAGTCAGTCCTCTCGTTTCTGGCAGGGACGTCAGCCGATGGGGCCCTGGCTGTGGGGTGAGGGGCAGTCAGCCCACCTACATTTCGCTGCCTGTCTGATAGAGAGGTTGCCTGGCACTCACCTGGTGTTGCCGGTATAGCAGAGGGAAGGTGAATAAGCCGATCACTCCTGTGGGCACAGAGCAGGGGTGAGACCAGGAGAGTAAGCAGTTCTATGCCCAGGCCTGCTCCCCATCAGACCCCAAGCACCCATCTCCCAGCCCCGCTCCCCAACACACAGCTGTCCCAGCTCACCCAGAATGAGAAGAGTCAAACCATTGAAGACGGCGCCCACAAAGGTCAAGATGTAGAAGAGGAAGGCCAACTGGGGGTGAAGGTCAGAGTCAGCAGAGTGTCCAGGGCACTCCACAGCCTGTGAGCTTACCCAGTGGCGGCCCCCTTCCACCTCCAGGGACGTGGTGCTGAGCGCTGGGAGGGTGTGGAGGTTTGGGGGGTACCTTAAGGGAGTCCACGAGGTCTTCTACTAGAAAGAAATGTCGCAGCTGTGTGAATGCAGAGACCACTCGGGAGGCAATCTGCTTGGACAATCGCTCTGTCTGCTCCTGGGTCAAGGTCAAGTCCACATCCAGGTAGGCCCTGAGGCGGCAAAACACAATGGGGTGACTCTGGGGACACAGGGCTCTGGCTGAAGTGTGTGGATGGGAAAAGGGTAAGAAATGGGGGTCAGGGGGAGGATGAGGGTCAGGACTGGGGGATAAGTCAAAGGAACCAGATGTAAAGGAGCTAGGGTCAAGATCAAGGGTTAAGGGTAAGTGGTTAGGATAAGAGGTTAGGCATGGAGGCCATAGCCCAGTATAAGGTCAGGCTCAAAATTAAGCTGACTGATAGGTTCAAATTAAGGTCCAAAATCAAGTTAACATGCTGCGTAGTCACTTCCAAGGCTGAGAACTTTATGGGAGCCACATTTTTCTCCAGTTGAGCAGCTGGTGGATTTAAACTGCCAACCTCGTGAAGAAGCAGCAGCCTAGCACTTAGCTAATGTGTCATCCAGGCTCCAGTCACGGTTTAAAAACAACAAACCAAATCTATTCGAATTCACTGGGACAGAGTCGAGCAGCTTCCTAGGACTTCCAAGGTTATAAATCCTAGCGGGATGTGACTGGCTCTTCCCCCCACTCCTTGGAAGGGCTGGTGGATTCGAACCACCGACCTTGTGATTAGCACCTCAGCCACCAGGGTGGACCCAGAAAGTACAGACTAGGATTACGGTGAGAGCTGGTGTTAGGGATCACGGCTTCTGGTCACTGTCCATGGCTTTGGGGTGTGGGCTGGGGGTAGGGTCAGGGGTCCCGGGTGCTCACTGGAAAGGGTTGGCACCGTCCCCCCGGTGCACGGCCTGCAGCACTTTGCGGTAAACCCTGAGAGAGATGGTGCCGCAGAGCAGCAGCAGAGCCACGTGGGCGACCACGGACACGATGCTAAAGTGCAGGAGGCAGAGCAGGGAGACCATGAGGCCCGTGAAGACGGCTCCTGAAGTCCGCGTGTCCTTCCAGTACAGCAGGTCCGCTACTGTGGAGGGGGCAGGCGTCAGGTGGGTGCCCTCAGCTGGCTGACCACCGTTTCCTGTCCCAGTGCTGACTTCTAACCCCCTCACCCTCCTGTCTGACCCTGCCATCAAGTCCCAGATCTTTAGTATCTTCTTCCCCGCGCACCCCGTTTCTATCTTCTCCCTCCAAAAACCGAAGAGCAAACAAGCGAACCTCTAGCAAGTCTCCTTCATCTTGTTAAGTGCTGTGAAGGTGATTTCAATTCATCGCCTTCCCATATGACGGAGCTGAACTGTCCCACAGAATTTCCTGAGTAGATAGCCAGGTCTTTTTCCTGCAGAACCACTGAGGGGATTTGAACCAGGGACCTTTCTCTTACTAGCATGGTTATTACCTCTGTGCCACCAGGACACATTTCTTTAAACTTACTCATACAATTACAGGTGCCTTTTGGTCCTTAGGCATGAAAACTGGAAACGTATACTGTTGACCTTGAACAAGATGGGGTTAGAGACAAGATGCTGACCCTCTTCGAAGTTGATAATCGATGCATAAGTCACCGAGACATGATTAGCATCACACAGCATTTTAAAAGGATACTTAATAGTACCTGAGCTCACCGGAAATAAAATCATAAATGAACCCACTTATAAAATCACTTATAAGTGAACCCACACATTTCAAGGTTATGTTAAGGGTCAGCTGTCTGCACTTTTCTGCATCACGCTTATTCCCCTCCACTGTGCCCTAGAGAAATAGCTTTTAGTCAGCTGGAATCCAGCAAAAGCTCTTGATGCATTCTCTTTAAGGTCGACAAGCAGCCCTTCACTTGCAATGTATTCAAGTTACAACAGAACTGCACTTAGGACCATCTATTTATGATGTGTGTTTTTTAAGTGTGTGTACTAAAACATATTTGAAAAACTAGATGGTGCTGAGCTACCACGACTGACCACCCTGAAAGGGATCACATACGAGGTTTAGGACAGAATGGAAGAAAAATACGAAATGAAATAAAGGAAAAAAAGAAAGAAATAAAAATGCCCAGGGACTGGTCTGTTACAGACTGGTGGATCCCCTGAGACTAGACAGGACCTGCAGTCACTCTCTGAGCTTGGAATAAAACTCATCCTATGTTCAACTTTCACCCCAACAATGGACAGAGAGGTCAATAAGGTGAGGTTAACACCAGCAAGATAATAAGTCCTTAGAACAATCAACCAAACAAGATCAAAAGGGCAGCGTTTGCAAAGGGATAAGGTTAAGAGAGCAGAAAGTTAGGATGGAAGAATTAGTGAAAACAAGAATCACAGGGATGAAGTGGGAAGAGTGTAGTCACATTACGGGTCTTGTAATTAATGTCCTAAAACTAATGTGTATGGACAGTTGAATGGAAAACCTATTTCTAAACTTTCACTCAAGTCACAGGGAGAATAAAATAAACCTGCAGACTTCTTTATAATATTTATAACTCTCAAAGATAAATGAACATTGAATGTAGAAAGGTACCGATAATAAAAGACAATGAAAATGAAAACCTTTTAAAAAAATATTCTATTTATATCTGAATGGGCCCACATCAGAGTTCTCAGAAAGTAACCCCATCAGAAGTCGACACTATCTGTACATGATACTGAAGGATGTGGCTGTATTATCATTTATTCAACCATTCACACACCTCTCCTGTCTACTTTCTGTTTTCACCACCACAAACAGTGCTGCAAGCAACAGTTTTACAACCTTACCTCCTGGAGCTTCTATTTCTGAGACAGAGTCCCTGGGGTGGAATCACGGAGTGAGCCAGTTATAAACATTGGCATGTTGCTAGCTAGCAAGAACTTAAAACTTCTCATTTCCACCAGCATCATGTTAAAAATGCTCTTTTCCCAGCAGCCTGCCCAGCAACACATGTTATTGCTTTTAATTTTTTTTGTCATCTTTTTTGCCAACCTATTAGATATATAGTGGTTTCTCTTCCACATTCCCTCCCAACACCGCTTCCTGAATCCTGAAGGGTTAGTGACACCACACTCCTCTCAGAGCCCTGACTCAAGTTTCTGAGCCCTTGCTGTGATCCTAAACTCTCTCAACCCCATTCTCATCTCATCCTGCTAAATTTTAATAGCCTTCCCATGAGATCCCTGAACCCTTCACCTATACTAGCTCCCTCCTCCCATCCTCACGCCAATCAAACTCTAGTCCATCCTGATTGGTCCACTCAGAATCTGCCCTCTCTCACTTCTGTATCCTTCTTTTACACAACCATCCATTTCTAAGTAGAGCCTAGTCCCCCTAAACGAAGGGCATTCCCCACAGCCTCCCCGAAGCTGAAGCCGATGCCAGAAGGTGGGGGAAGGGCTGGGTCGCCTGAGGCGGGGGCTAAGTTTAGGTACTTTGGGGGGAGGGGATCTCCCCGCAGCTGTGCTGGCCTGTCCAGCCTCAGAGTGACAGCACCGCCTGGGCCTAAGGCTGGGGGGAGGGGACCTTCCTGTTTCTGGGCCCTAAGGCTTCAACTCAGAAGAGAGGGGACCCTAGGCTCCCTTGACACCCTCCCTACACAGACATTTAGCATCCCCACCCCCAGCCTGCAGTTCTAGGAAATCCAGAGACCCCCTAGGAGACATGCCACAGATTTGGGGGAGATGATGATGAACCCAGACCCCTTTCCTCTGTTATCCAGCACCCTTCTCCCAGTCCGCCCCGAAAGCCCACCTTTACTCCCCATCTTCGCTGATAGTCAGAGGCTGCGGACGCCACGGCACCTCGGGGATTTTTGCCCACTTCAGTGGAAGCCGGAGGGAGGGAGTAGGGGGGCGGGGTCCCTGCGCACCCAGCCAATGACTGGCCACCGATGTGGGGATGATGCCAACCGGGGCAGGGCTCTCTTTTGTAAACAGAAAAAAAGCTGTGCTGTCTATAACCTAGGCTGTCTATAACCCTAGGCTATTCCTGGAGGCGGAGCATCGTAAAGTGAGGTGGTGTCAGTTGAAGTGAGGTACGAGAATTTTAAAAAGACATGTATAAATATTGAATAGCCATACACAGAATTGTTACACGCACACACACTGCACGATCCTCAACTGCCAAAATTAATCCTGGGGGTGGGGGGATGTTTAGCAATCAGCCAATCCTAATGCTTGCAAGAAGGCTTACCCTCAAATGGGAGGGGAAATCACAGATACACAGCCAATGGCGACAGTAAATGATTTGGGACAAATACCTTATGGGCAGGAATTTATAGTGTCTAGCCAATCGCATCATCTCTTCCCTTCTACAATCCACCCTTGAAAAGGTTGGGCTGTCTAAATCCGCCCCTTGCCTCCCTGTAACCCAATGGAGAACCTTCACTCACCTAGAAGGTGTGGTTCCAGCCTGAATTCTGATTGGTCTGTGCTATCGAGGCACTGCCCCTCAATTGGCTCCCGTTCGGGCTGCCTCCACAGCTCTCCCTCCTTCTCGTCCAGCGAGGGCTCATCTGGCCAAGAGTTCGAATCCCGAGATCGGGAAGAGGATGGAGATGGAGTATGAGCCTTGGGAGTCCCAGAAACCGGGCTAGGTTGGGGAGTCAAGGTCTCCGGCGGCAAAGATTGGGCAAGCCGGACTTGCAGTTCCAATTCTAGGGAGAAGAGGGATGAGCAGGAGAAAAGGCGGTAAGCTTTCCCCTGGGGAGAAATCACCTCTCTCTTGCCATTTCCTGACCAGTCTTCCCCCCCTCCCCCGACTTCTCACCTTCCCCGGCCTCTCCCGCCTCTGGCCTGTCGGGCTCCTCGTCTTCCAGCGGAGTGGAGCTGCTGGTGGAGGAGTCCTCCCCAGACCCTGCTCCTCGGGCCCAGCCCAGCTGGTCCAGCCGGAGCCGCAGATCCTCCAGGGGGCGCTCGGCCGGAGAGGCGGCGTCGGGGGCCCCGCGGCGCCCGGGCTCGGGGGACTGGCTCAGGCTGGGGATGCTCTCCAGGCTGTCGCCCAGGCCCGGCTGAGGGGGCGGATCTCGCGATTCTGAGATCGAGCGGCCCTGGGGCCGGGGCCGGCGGGCAGCCGAGTCGCGGCGGCTCCCAGAGCTCACCACGCCGTCGAAGGCGATGTAGGAGAAGGTCAGCTCCCGAGGGGTGCCCCAGTCCTGCGACGTGGTCTCCTCCTCCTCGTCCTCCGAGAATTCCCGCGCGGTGTGCAGCTCCCGGAAATCTGAGTCGTCGTTCCCTCCTGCAGCGGGGGAAGGAGAGCTGTGGACTGTCCTCGACCCCCCTACCCACCCAGCAGTGGTGGCCCTATGAGCCTGCCACCACTGCCCTCCTCTCCCCCCACTTACCTTCTGTGGAATCAGGGGTAGAGGAGGCTGTCGAAGGTGCTTCTTCTGTGAGAGCGAAAGAATCGAAGACTCTTAGAAGCTTGGACTGGCCAAACCACAGATGTGTGTTGTTACCTGCCCTGGAATCTCATGATGGCCTGCATTAAAGAAGCTTAGAATGTGTGAATTACTGATCCCTGAGAACTGCGTCTGATCCCTGACAACATTGTTGTTGTTGTTAAGTTCCATCGCGTCCTAGGAGACTCATAGCGACCCTGTAAAACGAAAGTCCTAGACACCTGCGTGACTTTCATCCTTTCTCCAGGTTCATAGAGTCTGCATTACAGACTGGAAAAATCTTAATATGACAGCCATCAGACTCTCAGAAGTTCAAATCCCCAAAATTTCAGTTCAGAGTCTTCAAATTAGGAATAGAAGCCCTCTTCTCACCATCTCACGAACAATTAAAAGTCCCCACCAGGGCTGCCGGGTCGATTCAAGCTCGTAGCTACTAGTACAAAAGTAGGATTTCCAAGGAATTCACTCTTTTGTTTACCTTTTATTAAGCACCAGCTTACTATGTGCCAGGTGCATAGGGAGCTCTGTTGACCTAGGAGTTGCCCCAAAGGCTGGTGGTAAGAACCCATCAGATCCTCTACTGGAAAAAGATGGGCAAACTCCTCCCATGGGCTCTATTGTTGTTAAGTGCCATTGAGTCGCAGGCGACTCCTAGCGACCCTATGAAGGAGAGTTCTCAACGCTTGGGTGCCTTTCATCCTCTCTCCAGACGGGCTCTATAGCCTCTGAAAAACTGCTGAAATTTCAGCTATGAGTGGTTTTGACTCGATGGCAATGAATAAATAAATATGTCAGGTAGGTAGCTCTGGTAAGGCAAAGTGTGCTGCCAACTCAAAGCCACTTGGTTCAAATCCACCAGCTTGTTCTGAGGAAGAAAGATAAGCAACCTCCTCCCATGCAATTTACTGCCTTGAATACCCACTGGAAGGTTGGCTTCGGGTCAGTTCCAACTAGCTGGCAATGTGCTAGGCACTGTTTTAGGCCCTGGGCGCAAAGCAGTGAGTAAAACAAACACAATCTCAGGTCTCAGAAAGCTTACCCACAAAGGAGACAGGAAAGCAATAAATCTATTATGCTGGGTAATAAATAAATGTATGATGTGCATGGAAAAAAACAAAATGGGATAAGGTATTAGAAGGTATGAGGCGTCGCTGATAAAGATGACATTTGAGCTGAGACTTGAATGAAGTGAGAGCATGTGAATGTGTAGGAAAGAGCATTCCAGACAGGAGGAAAAGTCAGTGCAAAGGCCCTGAGGAAGGCACTATGTGTCCTAGGGCGCCGTGACTGAGGGGGGGAGGAAGGCACTATGTCTCCTAGGGCGCTGTGACTGAGAGGGGCAGAGGTGGGAGTTGAGGCGAGTGGATGTGGGAGGAATGGGACTCCGAGGGCCTTTATAAGTCAATTTTAAGGATAAGATCTTAGGATATCACGATGGGACTGTAGAATCTTGAAATAGCAAATTATTTTGACAGCTGGACTCTCAAGACGCCTGAGCATCTCATCTGAGAGTGTTGGAACCTCTAGTTGTCAGAATGCTAAAAACACAAACTGTTCGAGCCGCGTGGATTCGACAAAGCACTTTCAATTCTGGAACCTAGTCCCTCGGAGCTGGCTCTTGCTCTCGGCTTGGCCAGAGGGAGATGCTCGGGCGCTCTCCACCCCACCTGGTTCGCTCAGCTGGGGAAAGCAGAGACCCAGACGGGCGCAGGCCTCCACACAGTTTACCACTGTTAAGTCAATAGCAAAAGGTTGCTAAGAATTCGGAGGTCCTGGCTCCAACCCAGAGCTGTTTGCTGCTGGGAGACAAGGGTTTTGGACGATTTGGCTAAGACGAGCACAGGGGAGTCTGGGCTGAAAAAGAAGTGGGATACCAAGACATATGGTGGGGTTCTGACCCTGTCCTCCATCCTGCTCTATACCTCGATTCAGCACCCTTCTCCCTTTTCAGTCGTCGGCTGTGGCCAGCACCAGGGAGAGAGGACAGCTCCTCGCACTAGCCCATCCCCGGGCGAAGCCTCGGGGCAGATCCAAGCGCCCAAGGCGGTCCCCATCCTCCGCCGGCTAGGTGGGCGCCCCCCCAGCTCGGCCCGGTCTCCCCCAGTCCTCCCGATCAGACATCCCTGTCGCCCCAAGAGCGCGGGGGGAGGGGAGCGCTTCCTTTGTCTTCTTCCCCCAGCCCGACTCTCCCGCGTACCCGCGCTCAGGGGCCATCAGAGAGGACCCTACCCCGGCCTCTCGGCCCCACACCAGGCCGCACCTCCCCCTACTCACTGCAGTGGGCGAAGACCGGCAGGACCTGCCCCATGGCCCCCCTCGGGCCTGCATCGGGACCCCCGCCCACTCCGGCCGCGCCGCCCTGGGCCCGGGGCCGCCAGCGCTCATCTCCGCCGCGCCCACGCCACCGCCGCCGCCATC